AAAAAAAATTGTGAAAAGGATATAGATATAAATATTGAAGAAACTATAAACAGATTTGGTTGTTCTTCAAATTTACTAAAATCACACCTTATGTTTAAATAAGTAGTAATTTCATAATTAAGTTGAGTTATTTACTTTACTTTATTATTCCAAATGCCATTAATATAGATAAAAAAAAATTGTCTTCAAATTTTCAAAAACTAGGTACAGTGCATATAAAATGTATTAGTTGAATTGTTGTTATAGAAAAAATTACATTTAGATAATATATTGATTTGTCATGCGGATACAATAAGTATAATTTGTTTAGGGGTCTAGAGAGCTTCCATGATTTACTGTATATACCAATATTAAATAACCATTACTTTACCACTAACAACTTATCATTTCACTATTTGGAGAGCAGTGAAAACATTTTAGGGTGGGTGTATAAAAATTATTAAATGCGAGTCAAGAAAAAAAAGTTCAAGCCGCTACTGCTTTAAGCAATATATCATTCAATGATAGGCCAGACTTGGATACTGCAGACCCATCAAATACATTCCTGAGCTTTGTAGTTAGACTCACTGCCTCGAGTACAGCGTTATGGAGCAGATAATAGACATGACCAGAATACTCTAAGTCTGCTACCTCTATGTGGTCCATACTGAGATACTTGGCCATGAATGTTTTGTATCTTTGCGCCAGACCAGGCTCCTTGTCGAAACGTTTTTCTAAGTTAAATAATCGTCTTTGAGCCATTTGACAAGAATCTCCCAAGACGTGTGGGTCTTGTGCAAATGGTAGTTTCACTAAAAAGCGACCATTGGTATCACGTGACACTGTTGATGCGAAAGGTCTTTCAGCTTGTTCTTCAACTGCTAGTTATGAACAGGTTGCTGTGAACAAGGATAATGACGAAGTTCTAGTTAAGGATAATGATTGATGCTCAGGTTGACAAGTTGGTAATTTTCCAACGACTATCCATCCAAATTCTGTGCTATGTAATGATGATGAAACAGTAAGTGGCCATTTTCCACTGCCTAAGATATCGAAAAACATTTTTGTTCCAACCATAATATCGATAGATCCAGGAACATTAAACTGCGGATCAGCCAGCTGGTTTCTTATGTGCTCAGGAATGTTTAAATCATCAATGTTGATTGTCTGAGCGGGTAAGGAATTGATTATGCTTGGTAGTGAATGAAGTAGAATGCTGCGTTTATGACTTCCGAAACGAGATGATATATGGGTAAAAGGTAGACATTTGGATTTAGAAGCCATATCACCAACACCCACAATGTTTACATGTTGAACGGGTAGAAGAAAATCCCAACCTTGTAACACATGCCAATGTAACCAGATTCAGTTGAGAGCCAGAGTCCAGAACCGCTCTGCAAAGCTGTGGACAACCATTTATGTCATGGACATAGACACTGGCAGTGGTTAACATCACATGCATTGACGATGTAGACTTGGTCAACTCAGCACACAGCACTGCATTTGTCTCACTATTAGCTGATTGATTAGGTTGGTTAGAAGAGGTTACAGCAACACCTTGTTCTTCATGTAGTTTTGAGTTGTGTCGCTTGTTGTATTTTGGGCATGCAGAAAATTTACAATCTTTGACTTGGTGTCCATAATTTAGACAATTATAGCATAATTTCAAACGAAATAGAACCTCCTATCGCTCTGACACTGTCATATTGATAAATTCACTACAATTAAATACTTTATGAGCTGCAGCACATACAGGACAATTTTTTACCGGACAAATATAAGATACCTACAATAATGTTTTTGTTTTATTTAATAAACGGATAAAAAATGTACATTTTTTTATACGTATTTACACTATAGGATATTAGAATTATTATACGACTATGTGTATAGTGTATCCATTTCACATTCATGTATCATAAAGATACGTATTGTACAAAAAATATATTATTATTATGTATAATATTAATTACAGTTTAAATATGTGCCCTTGTATTATACACATCGTATACAGTGGCGTAGTGAGGAACTTGATGGTCCTAGGGCCATAAGAGACAGAGGCCCCCTTTAACACAGAAATTTAATAATAATACAAATATAAATTATTCAATAATGATTCATGAGTTAATAATAATTATAAAATATAGTTTTTATTTTATTATTTATTACATATTTTATTAATGAAAACATATAATATGTTTTAGTATTATACTTAAAAATTAACTTTTCGAGCCTTCATTTGAGCAAACTTGTCAATTACATCTTCTAAATTCAATTGCCGTGCCCGCCTATTCTCAATGGAAATATTTGCCAAACCACTCAGTCGTTCCTCTGCTATCGTACCCCGTAAATAATTTTTTATTATTTTTAGTTTTAAGAACGATCGCTCTGCTGCTGCAACTGTAATGGGTAACGTCAAATACAAAATAAAAGCAGTGCATACATCAGGGTATGTTGTTGTAAGAGGAGAATGTTCAATTAATAACATTTCTGCAATTTCTTTTGTTGTTTTTGAATTTTTCAATATTATATCCTTAAAACATGATCGAAAAGATAGAATCTGATGATTCATGTTTAACCCTGGATATAAATTTATCAACTTTTTTAAACTTTTCCCGTATATTTTCGGCTACTCTATGGATACCATGTGCGAGACATGTTAAATGTATCATTTTAGAGTACAGTGATTGAATTGTTTGCCCAGCTTTCACCATGTATGGTGCGGCATCGGTCACAAACAGTAGGACGTCATCATGACGAATTCCGTTTGGCCAGAGGACGAACATTGAATGATCAAAAAGTTTTACTATAGTCGAATTATTCGCTTTTTCCAGAACTTCGGTTGTTAGCAAATAAGTTTTTCCCGGTGCGTCAGTATTTAAATTTCCTATAATAACGTTAGCTACATATCTTCCTTCAGAATCTGTAGTTTCGTCAATCGACACCCATATTTTATTTCCTTTAATTTGTTCTCTTATATTTGTCATAGTTTTTTCGTATATGTCGTTGACATAAGTTTTGCGTAGTGTCGAGTCACTAGGAATTTCTCTTGACGTATACTTTTCTAAAAATGATTTTAATTGAGGATTACTTATTTTGTAAAGTGGTATGTTTGCCGACAATAATGCTTTACACAAATCGTGTGAAAAAAGACACTTTTTCGGAGTATTAGTTACTAACTATTGGATTTCAGAATTTTTGTTTTTTTCATTTTTTCTAATAACCGCTCGTTTATGTTTCTCAGTGTTAACGTGTTGAGTCACTACAAATTTTCGATCACTGTTGACCTTCACTTCACATAACTTACAGAATAAAATATTTCCGTCGGTTTTGAATATATCCGTTCCATATTCCAAAACAAAACTATTCAAACGATTTGTCGCAGATTGTTTGGTTTTCGGCATAATGAAATAAAAATAATATAAGTAGGTAATTAAAACAAGAACGACGCGTACAACTACAACAGATAAGACGGACGTATAAGCTGGAACTGACAAAAATATCTAAACGGTTTAGCAGTAGGTCTATTAATGCCATTAACAATAATCATTGAGTTATTTTCCTAGAAAAGTATTTATAGAAAATCGTCGTATTTCGATAGCTGTTGTTTCTATTTTTAAATTTGTATAATATTCTATTTTAGATAAAGCTAGCTGTAGTTGTAATTTATAAATATAATATATACACTATATTTTTTGTATATTAATATTATATTATATTAACCAATAGGGGAAAAACATTATTTTTAATATCAAATAGAAATTTTAAAAATACGATACAAGAATATCTAGTAAGGTCTCTCAATATGAATGTATTTATTTTTTTTATTTACAAATTTTCATATGGAATCTCCATAAATTATAAAATATGCTCTAAAAAATTGTAAAATTAAGAAATATGCTCTAAAATCTAAAAATCACAAAATATGCAAAAATATACACTAAAAAATTTTGATATAATTTTCATAGTGTCTTGGAATGATTTTCTAGCTCACTTAGCAATAAATCTAATGGTTCAAAAAAATCATGCAAATGCAACAACTTCCGAGCCCTACTGATGAACAAAGTCTGGAGAAATATCGTGGTTATACTTTTTTTGTAGTATTTCTGCTTCCTTGTGTAGTTCCTCGTCGTTTAGTTCTGATAATGAAATAGGTTGTAAGCATTTAAAAAAGTGAGAAACGTAATTAAAACTTTGAAATCTACGTTCCATTTCGTTGATACTACGATCAAGTGTTATATTAAAAATTTCAACTTCAAATTTTTTTCCAGGTGATTTTAATCTTTAGCTTCACAAAGCTCATCAAAAAACATTTTTTTTTTTTTGCTATACCTTTGGTTTTTAAATGTTGGTGTTATGCCCCATGTTTTCGAAAGATTTGTAGCTTCTGTGAAAAATTCCAAAAAATTTCCTCTTATAATTTTCTAATTACTTGTTAATATTTGTAGTAGTCCTATAGCTTTGTGAAGATCAATATCTCTCTGTTGTAACAATTGTAAGACACCATCTACTTTTCTTAGTATATCACTTACAAATACCAACGTTAATACAAAGCTGAAACTTTCAAGACTTTTTACAAGTTATTTAGCTTCTGAAATTTCATTTTTATTTTTAGACAATAATATTATTTTTGTTAAAGCTTATAGAAAATTAAATCGAATAGGAGAAATAGCTTGATGGCGTGATGACCACCTGGTAGAGCAAACTTTTTTAAGTGTTACTCCACCAACTGGTAAAATGTCAGTTTAAATTTTCCAGCGTTTTCCACTTAACGAAAAATAAACATATAGTTTTTGTATAATGGAAAAAAAATTTTGAATTTCAATTGAGGCAGTCATAGTATCATTTAAAACCAAGTTCAAAATATGGGCGTTACAGTGAATATACTCTGCAAGAGAACAATGAGCTTTTATTTTTGTTTGGACACCGTTATAAATTCCCGCCATAACAGCAGCTCTGTCATAACTTTGTCCGCGTAATTTACTAATATCTAATCCATCATTTTTTATATTTGCTACAATCTAATCGGCAAATCCGGATGCTGAATGATCATTTAATAAACAGAATCCGAGAAATGATTCTTCTATCCTAAGTTTGATCGGTTTATTGTCTTCGTTTTTTTCAATGACTACATAACGAATTATTTGACTAATTTGATCCTGTTTTCTAATGTCTTGTGTGGTATCAGTTATGTACGAAAAAAACGGAACTTTTTGTACATCAGATATTATAGAATTTTTTACACATTTAGCAATCATATCAATTATTTCATTTTGTATAGTGGCACTTAAATAATTGACTTTCTTAGGTCCTCGTTGTAAAAGTTCCGATAATATAGGGTCATACATCGCAAGAAGTTACCACGGTTTTCACTGTCTATTTTTTCATTGTGGCCTCGAAATGATAGATTTTGAAATCCTAGCGTCATAGTAACATTTATAATACGTTTTATGACTTGCCTCCAAAATCCAACTTCTACGCTAATTTGAGATTTTATTTCTTCAGATAAAGTATTATTTTTTTCCCATCGGTCTACTGTAAGACAAGCGTTTATATGGTTTTCGTGCAATTTAATTTTCTCCGAAATATGTTTCCAATCATTCATACCATTAGCCCATGAACTCGATGTACAAATAACCAACATGGTTGACAATAAACTAAATTAAGTGATTTTGAGTAACAAATCCATTTACAATGAAACGTTACACCCCCTTGACTTTTTTCATTATAATGTACTGTAGAAAATGAACAATATTTGTTACCAATCATTTTTTTTGGAAATGGACCATCTGGTTGACACGGCCCCTTAGAAATAATAAAAATTTTATCCGATGTATTCAATGTATTTGTAAAAAAAGCTTTGTCGTTTGGAAAATCTCCTATGGTCGCTTCTGATAAATCTGGGTTTATTGAACATTCAGTTTCATCATTCAGACAATCTACAGTAGTTGTTTTTTTTCGAAATTTGCATTAATATTAGAAATTTGAGTAGTCGAAATCGTAGATGGAATTAATGATTGTGCCTATCAGTGAAAAAAAAAATTGATTAATAATAATATATTTTAAAATAAATGTGCATGGACATTTAAGATCCAACGTATTAATATATATTTAAAAAAAAAAACATCATTGTAATAATGTAATATATTAATATTAAATATACACAAATTCGGTCACAATAATTTAATAATTATAACTATATATTTTGTTTGTTACATTCGATACTAGTGGTGCTATAAGAATAACAGTTTTATAAATAATTAAAAATATAATAGAATAATAAATACATTATTTTAAAACTAAATTTATTTTCTTTCTTAATTAGTTTAGGACATTACATACTATTAAAATAGTTCATAACAAACCACATATTTTTGTTTGTCAAATTCCCTTCAAAATTTATCAAAATAAAAGATTGAATTTTTTATTAAACTATTATAGAATGGCAACAATAAACTACTTACAATATCAGTTGTTTACTTATACATGAATTATTTCCAAGATCATCTCTATTCAAAAAATCATTTATTCGCGGGAGTAGTTTTTCTTTTTCAATGCGCTGTTTTTTTTAATTTTCTTTTTAAACTTCCACTCAAATATACACGTTTAGACATTATTAATAAACAAAATTGTAAAAATAATTGAAAATATATATTTAAATAATTAGTATCAAGTAAATATAAAATGTAAATATAAATAATAACTTAATATAATTAGTATGTAGTAGACAACCCAACAGGCGACAACGAACGTGACGTACAAAATACAAATCATAATAGATTAAACAAACTGCGAACCCTACATGATGGTGGCTGCTTTAGAAACAATATTCTTAGAATAGCTTATCTATATAACTAACCGTCCGTTTATTATTAGTGACGTTTATTATTAGATAGTAATATACTAATATTAATATACAAGATGTCAAGATAATGAACGTTAAATCCGCGTACATATTTTTTCGTTTCGTATTTTAGATCAAATTTTTTTCTACGTAAATATAGTTTTTAAAAAAAATATTCAGTATTTTTTTTATGTAATATTGACTATTGTAATAATAAAGGTCCTGTGGCCCCCGACTTCGACACACCTAAGGGGCACTGGGGCCTAGGCCCCGACGGCCCCGGCCTAAATACGCCCCTGATCGTATTGTTGCGTCCCTTATGTCAACGTCAATTCATATATCAACGTAGAAATAGAAATACTAATGTTTGCAAGTTAAAAGGTTTAGTCTTTATTTAATACAATTAACTCGTACAAGAATACAATTTTATAAGCACAAGATGGTGTGAGTGGTGTTACGACCTGCCTCTGAAATACTGATAGACGAGACCGTGAGTGGTGTTACGACTTGCCTCTGAGCGTCTCGAATATCCCTTACCGTCTGCTGAGCTCTTGCCCCGGCCTCCCTTATATATGGTTAACCGTCAAGAGTGGTGACTGGGGAGGTGGCGACCTCCGATGACCTAAAGGAGCTCTCTAAATTAAATGTATTATTCAGTTGGGTGCCTTTCCTGCGATTTCATCGGTTCTAAGAATTACAAGACGTGTGATCAAGTCTTAATTGTCATATTAAATAGTACAATGTTAACACTATCGTTTACTCATCATTTCTGAGAAGTCCAGGACGTGTGATCCAGTCTTAATTATTATATTAAATATCACGATGTGCAGGTGTTCGCCCTATCCGTTGGTGCTACACTGTTTGAATATATTATTCCATCGGTATACACATCACCTCTCCGTATAATATACAGAGTGATTTTTTTATCGTGAACCAGTTAATATCTCGGGAAGTATTAGGAATTTTAAAATAATTTTTTTTTTTTAACTTTCTAGGTTTTACTTTTTTACACTGTTTTACAATTTTGATAATTTTAACTTCCTCCCTTATTTGATAAAACACTATCAACTTTTGATTTTCAAATGACAATACCTATTTTCGTTAACAAAAATCTATAGACATACTGAAAAAAATAAGTTTGACGTTTATAGAATTTAATTTGAGTAATCCGTTTGCGACTTATTAATGTTTCAATATTCGTTTAATTTACTGCTACTGGGCAATCTTACAAACCCAACAGTAAAAACCAGAAGTCAAAACGAAATTTTATTTCAATTTAACACTAGCCATTAGGGTCATAATTGATAATAAAAAGATAGATAAACAATACTATTAGATAAAAAAAAAGTATCCTATCTTCACTCCCACCAGAACACCGAGTGTCAGTGAAATGAACGACTAGCCTGCAGAGCAGCTTATCAGCTATATGTAAAGTATAAAAATAACATTTTACAAATTTTACAATTTACCATCATGGTTACACAATATAACACTGGTTACTGTTTCCTGGTATACGATCTTATCACGTATTAGTAGATAAACGATAATAAATGTCGGTAGAATTCAAATAAGCACCTTTGCAATCCAAACTAGAAGACATTCATAATCATCAAATTTTAAATGCTGAACAGTATTTCGTTTAAATGGATGATATATTTTTTTTTTCGCAATTTTCTGGACTGAACTATATGAAATTCCTACTTCTTCTAAACAAATAATCATAAAACATGATAATTAATAAATAACGGTAATTTTATGCTCGATTCACAAAAAAAATGAGACATGGTTTGCCAGAATTACATCAATGTGTTTGTGAAATAAACACAAACCACATCTAATAAAATAATATAAAACATGACTGAACTGAATCAAATTATACTCAAGGGAAATAGGAGATTATCAGTCAAGATTATATGGGCCCAAAAAATGAACTGGAGCATACGTATGATTACAATATGGAAACCAGGCAATAATTGTTTGAGGATTTACTGTGTCAGGGAATACCTTAAGCTCAAATATATACAATATATGTATTTAATTACTCAATACTATTCTTAAAGATGTATTAGGATTTTTTTCTAATTTTTGTAACACAATTTGAGAATATTCTTTAGTAGTTTTGGTACATTTCCTATTTTTACTCTTATTGAAACTTCCTGTAGATTTTAAGTTTTTTTCCAATCTTAAAAAAATGCTTGAATTGGGAACTTTCCTTTCAAGCCCAAATCATTGGCTGTACAATAGAGCGGCTTTCCTTTTATTTTTTCTACTTTCTATAAAGCATGACCACATATCCATTTTTTCAGTAATAGAGTAGAACATTGTAGTTGATTTAACGTTGAAAAAATTTTTGTGGTTTACAATAAAATAAAATATTTATTTAATATTGAGGAATCCAGAGGATTAATTCAACTGAGAACAGATAAAATGTGAAAAACCAACAATACTGTACATTTAGGAAATAGATAGGTACTTTTATCTTTTATACCTATGTGAAACATGTCATATTCATCATTCAATCAATTATGTTTTACAGTGATATGTAGGTATATAAGTATGTTATTTTGATTACACAAATAAAGTGACACAACATATAACCTATATCAGACTGATATTACAATGTATTGTGCATCGAGGAGGTGAGTCTTGTATTGTTAATCTGATGTGGGGCTATAGGCTCAGAGCCCGTTGTTCATAGTGCCTACCCGACCTTCTATTTATAAATATTAGGTATTCTGGGATATATTTTTTGTATAATGTATAATTTGCATTTTATATCAAAACTATCTTGTGTGTGGATAGACCAGGCATGCCAAACCTTTTTCAACTGGTGGGCCACATTTAAAATGTATATTTGTACTGCGGGCCGTATATGCTTCATGGGTTTTTTTTTTGTTAATTTCGATAAATATAAACTAGTCATAGTTATATCTATTGTACATTTTATCGGATATAATAATATCTTTGTTCACTTATCGAATTTATGACTCAAATCATATGTGTTTAAAGTTCTCAATATTTCCACGCTATAGTTGTTAGTTTGTTTTCGTCATTAAAAATTATTTTATATTCTTAAAACTTAATAACACGTTGACTGCCACATGACCGCCGGCGGTCATCGGGCGGCGGGTGATAACACTAAAAATGTGGTCGCCGGCTGCCACGCTACCATATTACCTATACGCCATGTGACCGCAGGCTGTCATTTTCTTATATATTTTCAATTGGACTTTGTTGTGCTGGCGCTGAAGTTATGACACGTGTGATATTACCAATGAATAGAGAAGAAAATTTTACATCGAAAGGTATATTTTTTACCTCGATTGGATATTTTTAAGGTGTAGAAATAAATGATTAAACAACAGAATTCTATTACTTAAAATTTTTTTTTTATTATTTATTATAGATACTTAAACAATTCATATACGTCAAAATTAAAAGATGAAATAAAAAAAAAATAGTAAACAAAATAAAATACATGTTTTTTGAATAATAGATTGATTTATATTAATTTTTAAATATTAATTAGCATGGTGTATATTAAAACAATTTATACAGGTATAAATATTACAAGTTGTACAAAATGTTGAAACTTTTCTTACTTCTCTAGCTTTTGCGGTCTTCTCAACGTCTTTTGTACTTTGATAGCAATGAACGCATCTTTTTCGAAGTTTTCGATTTCTGTTGCACTTTTCCGTAGTTTCTTCAAAATAATGTTTTTTATTTCTTTTTGATCGTTTGTTTCCAGATGTTGATGGTTCATTCATAATAGGTTCATTCTGTTTTTCTAGTTCTAACATTTGATCAACCAATACTTCTCGAAATTGGGTAATTTTTATTTTGTTTTCGTGTATTTTATTATATACAATTAAAGCATTTACAACAGACGTTCCTAATAATATTTCTGTAGCGACTTAGTGGTACCATCGGATTGATTTTCTGACTGCCGTACTGTAACTTGAAAGTTGATCTGATAAATCAATCCCTGCTTTGCCTTTGTTATAACTAATTATAATTTCGGGTTTCACAACATTTTCGTTAATTCTATTTTTTTTACCCATATCTATCATATCAATGCCGTGTCGAGTCGACAACATAGTAACGTCTTGTTTATCTTTCCATTTACCAATAACAATTCCGTCTGCATTTTCTTTACCAACAATTTCTCCTCGTTTTAACTTAGCATCAGTTACTCCTGGTACCCGAACTCTATTAGAGCGTAGTGTTCCTGTTAAATGTGTTTTATTTTTCAAAAGTTCATACGCAAGGGGTAATGAAGTGTAAAAATTGTCTGTGGTTATTTTCCGATTAGCATTTAAATACATCTGACATAAATTCAACACAACTTTGCACGCAAGCCCTTTCCCTTCAACTTGGCTTTTACCTGCATAGATTTGCACATTATATGTGTACCCGTCTGTTCCACATAACTTAAACAATTTCACGCCATATTTGTGTGACTTTCCAGGTATGTACTGCCTGAAACCCAATCTTCCACAAAAAGGGACCATAGTTTCATCAATAGCTAAATGTTCATCTGGTTCCATTACGTTTTGAAAATTGTGAATCATTTTTTCAACTAAATTGCGTACTTTATAAATTTTATCACCATCAAATTTTTCATTATCAGAAAAATGTAAAAACCGAAGAATTAATTCAAAACGATTTCGAGGCATGATTTTATGTGCCACATAATTTTTATACCTAGTACTATTACACCAATAGTCTCTTATAGCTGTACAAGCCCCAACCACATAATTAACCCAAAAAATTTTTGTATTTCATTTTCGTTTGTAGGTACTCATTTAGCGAATCGGCTGGATTTGGTCAATCTAGTTTTTGATAGAAATTGTTCAGCATTTCTATTAGTTTCGACCACAATTAAATCAATTATTTCATCCGTAAAGAAAAATTTAAAAATGTCCAAAGCAGAAGAATCCACGGGTATATCAATTTTTAAACCGGAATATGTGTTATTGAATAAAAATTTATTTCGATTTTTGCCTGTCACATCATTCCAAATTGCGATACCTGTAGTATTCGAAGAACTTATAGGTGAACTATCTAATGTTTCATTGTTAATAGATTCTATAGAAAAATTTAAAAAAAGTAAATTAGTTGTAAATATAAATTATACGAGCCTAAATACGTAAAAAATACTTTTAATAATTTATATCTATTATTTTTTATTATAAAATACAATTGTATTAAATATAACATTATTTTTCAACTCCCCCTTTCTCTCGTATAAGCAGATTTCAAATAAAAAAACAATACTTTTTCTTACCTTCAACATCACTTTCAACATCAGACTCGGAAGAATTTGGATTGTACGTAGCGTCTTCATCAGTGTCATCAAAATTACTAAATTCACTGGAGTTACTAGAATTATCGATTTCAAGTATTTGATTTATAAGATCGTCATTTAATCTAGCCCTTTTAGAACGAGAATTCATATTAAATATCTTAAGACAATTATGTTTTACTCACAAAAAAAAATCAACTTATACTTAAAACGTAGTGTGACCGCCGGTAACCACTTGGCGTATAAATAATACGAGTATTAACAGGACGCCGTGTGACCGCCGGCTCCCATTTCAACTAATGATATTATCGTATAGGTGAGGCAAAAATAAGAATACTGATATCGGTTTCGTGAATTTCCAAACATTAGTTTAAGAAATATCGGAAGTGACATTTTATTAATAACTCTCTAAAAAGGCTGTGGCAAACAGCGGAAGATGATCAAATGCCCGCCGGCGGGCACGTGGCGGTCAACGTAATAAAATACATTTTTTTTGTAAATAATAATTTTTTTTTTTTACACCTATAAAAATTTCTAATTTTAATAAAATGATTACGGACCAGTTGGAACACTTTCGCGGGCCGCGGATTGGGCATACTGACGCGGTCCCGCGTAATATTCCGTTTGAATTCAAACGGCCTTCACCTCACGCGAAAACCGTGGGAATGACTTCATTCCAATCTTGCCAGCGACGCCGACGCCGATCAACGGCGTCGGAACGCTTTGACCATGCTGCGAACCGAGCCCAGACGACCAGGTGAGTTTTCTAACGCCTACGCAGTATAACAAACCATGTTTTACCATCAACTCGTGCATTGCGTACGTAACCGAACGGCATGTTTCG